TGGATGGAATTGGCAAAGGGCCGGGTGGCCAGCGTGCGCGCATCAGCAGGCCCCTGAGCTGATGTAAGCAAAAAGCGGCCGTTCTTGGCAGCAGAGGGCCGTAGGGGGCCCTATGGCCAGAAACTGGCGCAGGATGCCTGCCGATTTCCAGCCGTAGGCAGCCCTACGGCCCCAAATGGGCGTAGGAGATTGCCGATTTTGGCTGTAGGGCCACCTACGGCCATTTTTTAGCGTAGATGACCCCCGATCTCCCAATTATGTGCCGTAGTTTGGCCTACGGCCAAAAACCACCTGCCCTTTGACGCTAGCTATGAATATCGTGGGGGTGTAACGATTTCCTACGGCACCAGCCTATTGTAAATCATTTCCAATTTCCAAACTTCATAACAGCAAAAGGATTCCCCAATTTTTCCAATTGCACAGGCTTTGCGATCCAGGATTTGACAGTCGTTATACAAGTGCGATCTGAAATCCACTCATAGTGGCCAGGATCTCAGATTGCAGGCAGGAAAAATTCAAAATCTCAAATTGCAGCTGATCGCACATCTGCTGCAATCTGAGGGATCGCACAAGCTGGCTGCAAGTGGATTTTCAAATTGTTATACATGTGCGATTTTTTTTTCTTTTTTTGTTGGACGAGAGCCCAGCTGCGACTTACCGGATTGCAGACCTTGCCTGATTTGACAAGCGTTATACACGTGCAATTTATGGATCGGCTTAACCAGTGCCATCATAGCTAGCAGCAGGATCTAGTCAAAAATAATCGCACATGTATAACGATCTGAAAATCCAGCTGCAGCCAGCTTGTGCAATTTCTCAGATCGCAGCAGGCATGCGATCAGCTGCGATCTGAGATTCTGAATTTTTCCTGCCTGCAATCTGAAATCCACTCTGAGTGGTCAGGATTTCAGATCACATGTGTATAACGACTCTCAAATCCTGGATCGCACAGCCTGTGCAATAGGAAGAATCGGGAATTGCTTTTGCTGCTAGCTATGAATTTGCAGATCGCACCCTGCTTGATCCTGCCTGCAATTTGCAGATTGCACCAGCACTCATAGCCAGCAGCAGGGCCCAGCTGCAATTTATCGGATCGCACACTGTGCCCGATTTGACAAGTGTTATACACATGCAATTTACGGATTGGCAAGGGCCTTGCCAATCTTTGAATTGGCCCACCCAGTGCAATTTGCAGATCACACCCGTGCCCATCTGCCTGCGATTTGCAAATTGCACTAGCACTGATCCTGCCTGCGATTTGCAGATTGCACCAGCACTGACCCTGCCTGCAATTTGCAGATTGCACCAGCACTGACCGTGCCTGCATTTTGCAGATTGCCCCACCTGGTGCAATTTTGGGATTGTGGTCACGGTCAACTCTGCCTACAATCTG